TAGATTGTGGATATGAAGTTTCTTGATGATGAGGAACATTATCTAGCTGTTGCTACTAATCTTGAACAGGTGACTTAGTAAAGCTTGTTGATGGTGCATTTGGACATTGTACTACATAGAGATTACTTATTTTGATGTTCAATGATCCAATTGTTATCTTGATTTCAATTTTGGATTGAATTGTGCTCCTTGTTGGCCCTTTTCATGTTGTTTTACCCAATTATATTTGATAGATTTCTGCGGTAGTTTCTTGTCTGGATTGATTTTATTAATGTGTTCTCCTTGAAGAGGCTTTCTGTGTGCCTTGTTTGAGTTTACAGACCCTTGATGTGTGTGCATGTGTATGTTTTTCTGCACTTACGATTTATGTGGATGAAGATGTAATTGTCTAATATGTATCGATTAACACATATGCAGGTTCGAGTGTATGACCTTTCCTCCATGTCATGTTCCTACGTGTTGGCCGGTCATACCGATACTATTCTTTGCCATGATACATCTATTTCTGATAACAGAAGGCTTATTCTAACAGGGAGAAAGGACAATAGCGTATGTTTTCCTTCTCTATCCATCATATATATATATATATATATATATGCTTTGCTACTAAGAGTTGAGCCGTGTTAGGGGGGATGGCTGAGCCTGACGATGCTAAGTATTTTTGCATGGTGCATGGTGTGGTCTCTTTTGCCACAAACATTCTCATAGAACATGCATCTTTATTTTCTTCATCTACATTTTTAGTTAAGGTTGTGGGAATCAGAAAGACGATGTTGCATAGGAATTGGCATAGGTCACATGGGAGCGGTTGGAGCTGTTGCTTTTTCCAAGAAGCGCCAAGATTTTTTTTGTTAGTGGCAGTAGGTGAGCACTTATTTTCAGAATCTTGTCTGTTTGGTTGCAATCTAATTTTATTACATGTGCTGTGCACTCTCTGTTATGATCGCTTCTAAACTTTCTTATGAGTTAGTCAAACAACATGATGCTTAATTGCCTGATTGTTCTCGTTCTGTGTTTGTGGCAGGAGTGAAGTGCTAAGATTTAACCATCTCTTATGTAACCTAAAAGTGCTTATTGTTCTCCTTGACAAATGTAATTAGGTTTTGGGTTGTAGTTGACTTAAGATACACTGGGCATTATGTCTTCAAAATTGTCAGCCTCTTTTGGTTGGCAGCATGACATTAAATCATGTTTTAACTTAGAGATTGGGGTATTCTTAAAAGACAATAGAGAAATGAGTTCACGATGCATCTTGGACCTTGTTTTTTGTAAGTTATGCTACATGATGGGGTCATGTTTCCTTAGAACCTGTGGAGTGGTTGTTTTAGATTTGGTACTTTAAAGTATTATTGTTTTCTCCATGTTTTTATTTTGTGCTGATAACCTTATGTTGTTTGGAAGTAGAAACAAAAAAAGGAAACAAAAGTATGGGAGCTTTTAATCATAGCTGTTGGATGCAAATAAGCCCCTTCTAATCCTAGCCATTCAAACTCATTAAAAAAAGAGCACATCCTAGTTATATGACCAAATAAATATAAACATATTTAGTACCCTTAACTAAAGTAGAACAGAAAACATAACGGAAAAATATATATATATATAAACTACTTGAGTGCTTCTGTGATATCTTTATATTTTTCTTTTCTAAGAACTTGTGATTTAAGAATTTATGGTTGCAAACCGTTGCCAAGTTTGCAACTTACTGATTTTATTCTCTTTTTCTTTCTTTTGCATGATAATGGTTTTCTATTCTCACACATGTACCATATTCTTCAGCGATCGTACCATTAAGGTTTGGAACTTTGATGGACTCTCAGTTGACATTGAACAACCTATTAATTCAAAAGCAAAGGCAGTTGTAGCAGCGCATGATAAAGACATAAATTCTCTGGCTGTTGCACCAAATGACAGTCTAGTGTGTAGTGGTTCTCAGGTTAGTAGGCAATGCATCTCAGTCAGCCTCCTATTCTGTTATGGCCTTATTGATTTTCTTTTATTAGTGGAGACTGAAACTACATATATTATCTTTGAGGCATCCTTTAATGATTCCAAAGATACATTTAAAGGTTTAAAATGTGTTTGTTTGGCAATCAGGATCGTACTGCTTGTGTTTGGAGGCTTCCAGAACTGGTACTTGTGGTTAAATTTACAGGGCATAAACGAGGTATCTGGTGTGTAGAGTTTTCACTTGTTGATCAATGTGTCATAACGGCATCAGGTGACAAGATTGTAAAGATATGGGCAATAGCCGATGGTTCATGCATAAAAACATTTGAAGGGCATACATCAAGTGTATTAAAAGCATCATTTCTTACATGTGGAACCCAGTTTGTTTCATGCGGTAATTTCTTCTTTCTCTTCACTCATTAGATTTCTTCCATTTTAGCATTTTGGTGACATTAAGCATGTGATTCACCATTCAGGTGCTGATGGGTTGGTTAAGCTGTGGACAATCAAAACAAATGAATGCATTGCTACCTATGATCAGCATGAGGACAAGGTTTTGAATTATTATTTGTTTATTTTAATGTTTGGGTACGTGCATATATCTTTACTTGCTGTGCATGGAGGAAGATGAAAAGATTTTTAAGAGCTTCACTCGCACATGGAGGAAGGTGAAGCTATGTGGCATTAATGCTTTTAAATTTTTATGATAAAATTTGCTCTGCAGGTTTGGGCATTGGCTGTTGGGAAAAAGACAGAAATGTTAGCAACAGGTGTTAGTGATGCAGTGATCAATCTGTGGTATGATGCAACTGCTGCAGAGAAAGAGGAAGCTTTCCGTAAAGAGGTATGTCATCTATACTTTTGTACTTTGATATTGTTTCCTCTTGGAGATAATGGAACGTATAATTTGACAAATTTAGTATAGGCCCTTGGATATGTTAAGAGAAAATCGTGGTGGAATTATTGTTGTGTAAATTATGTATTAGTAGCAAAAATTTTGACTTTGTTTTTCCATTCCGACGCAGGAAGAAGGGGTTTTGAGAGGGAAAGAATTAGAAAATGCAGTGTTAGATGCCGAGTACACAAAGGCAATACAATTTGCTTTGGAGCTCCGGAGGCCTCATAAACTTTTCGAGTTGTTTTCTGAGCTCTGCAGGTTAGTAATACCTAGTCATATAAGTGATTCCTTAGTCCTACACAACATTTTCTCATAAGAATGCTAAATAGGATGAGAGAAGCTGGGGATCATATAGACAAGGCTCTTCATGCCCTTGGCAAAGAAGAATTTCTTCTACTTTTTGGGTATATACGAGAATGGAATACAAAGCCAAAGCTGTGTCATGTTGCCCAATCTGTTATTTTTCGAGCTTTCAACATTCTTCCTCCAAAAGTGATTATCGAGGTATTCTTTAGCAATAGCTACTTGATATTAATAGCCCCATTTGTCCTTTATTATTGAAGTTGAATTTTAATGCCCGATCTCTTCCTAAATTTTCAATATTATTGTATCTAAATGCGCTTTACGGTCCTAGAAGCAAAATGTTATTTGAAAATGTAAGAAGCATCGCATTCAGGGTTTTCATCCAGGCTCATTGATGTTTAAGTGTTTATTTTTGTTTGATATAATAGTTTTTATACCCACTGAATTGAGCGCTTGAACAAACTATGTTGCAGATTAAAGGCATCAGTGAACTGCTTGAGGGTCTTATCCCATATTCTCAGAGACATTTCAGCAGGATAGACAGGCTTATAAGAAGCACATTTCTCTTGGACTACACTGTCACTCGAATGTCCGTTATTGAACCCGTGACTCAGGATGATTTGAAGACCAAGTCTTCATCACATTCCAGGAAAAACACGGATGATGCGCTTTTAACAGATAATGCTGAAGAAGATCAAAAACAAGTTTCTGAAGGACCGAAGTCGAAGGCCTCAGCAAGAAAGAGGAAATCACGCAAATCTGGTGACACTTGTCGCTCATGTAAGAGGGTCAAGGATAGCTCAGTTCATGCAAGTAATACGGCCGTGCCATTGCGGGCGTAACTGGATGTAAGTTGGATCCTCTTTTCTCATCTGCATGCACATCCATACAGTAAGAGTTTGGCAAATCATCTGAGTAGGGGGAAATGCAGTTAAGATTTTGTTTGTTGTTGACTAAACCTTGGTTATAGATACGTCTATAAAATATACGAAATTTCCATTTTTGCTGCAATGTTGATTTTCAAAAGGAAAAATGATAAATTTTTTTTGAAAATATGATTGATCTTATTTCCATCTGATTTCAAGTTCTATTCAGCGGGCATTCCCATTACTTTTATTACTTGTCTTCATTCTTTGCTTGAATGAATTGAAATATCAATTTGATTTTCAACAGGGGCGTGTATACGGGACTGGAGCTTACTTTTAAAATTAATGTGATGAAAATTTTTAATAATTTAAATTATTATTTTTACTCTTTCATTAATATTTTAATTTTATGCAAATTATAAACAAACTTTATAAAATTAATATATTTAATTTTTTACTAATAAATTTATTTTTATTGAAGGACTCTAAATTATTAAAAAAAACTAATATATGAGTGCAAAGCACCGATAGTTAAAATGAAAATGATCAGTTCTGATGATGTAAATTTTAATACAGGGCAAACGGCAAAGCAGTAATTACAAACATTTTAAAAGTGAAGCGATCATTCATATGCCAAATTATGTAAATTTTAATACATATTAATATGTTTATTTTAAAATTTAAAGAAATTTTAGTTTTTGTTTTATTTTAGTATCATATCGTTAAAATTTTTAGTTTTTATTTCACTTTAATATTATCGTTTAAAATTTAACATTAAATTTTAAAAAGATTAAAAGTATAGTTACTAAAATAAGCTTAAACTGATAGTTTAAGTACTAAATGAGTTAAATTATTAACGATTAGATATTAAAATGAAATAAAATAGATATAATTTTAAAAATTTAAAAATTTAAATACATAATTTAATCTAGATTCTATTTATGTGGCCAAGTAAGTCACCGTGTCTTTTTCGTGGTTAGCTTTGCCACTGAAACAATCAAATCAAAGGAACCTACTGACCTTTCCTTTCCCATTAACTTCTCTTTCGACCTATCCTTTTTACCTACTTCACCCAACAAATTACCGTCGTTTCCTCTCCCTCAAACAATCTAGGTTTAGGAAGGTCCCCTGATAATCTGATCCCAACACCAGTATTTTCCGATACCCTCTCTATCTCTCTCTCTTTCAATTATTCAAAACCGAATGGATTCACTAACAGCTCTGAATGGGTCCGCCGCTGCCAACTGTTATACGGTGTCTCCATTTCTGAGCAAAACCTTCGACGTGGTGGATGACCCATCGACCGACTCGCTCGTATCGTGGAGTAGTGATAACAACAGCTTCGTTGTCTGGAAAGTGCCGGAGCTTGAAAGGGACCTCTTGCCCAAGTATTTTAAGCACAATAACTTCTCTAGCTTCATCAGACAGCTTAATACTTATGTGGGTATTTCTTCGGTTTTCTACTTAATTTTTCTGTTTAATGTTGCAACTTGCACTGTTTTATACTTGTGAAGGCTAATTAGACCTTAGCTTTATGGGAGTTTTAGGGTTTAGGGCTTTAATATTGCTTCTAAAAAATTGATATGACTGAGGTTTACTGTGAATAATCTTCAGTTGGTGGAGCGGAAGCCTGAAGGGAGTTTTCAGAAAACATATGGCTGTTGGGTCATGATTTTATGCATATTTATGTTGTAAGACGAATTAAAAGGAATACGGGGTTGATTGAATGGTGATATTAATTTTGATTAGTTATGTTAAATAACCCAAATCTTGGTTTTTGCTTTTCAGACTTGGATATTTGTATAGTTTTTAGCTGTTGCAGATGACATATTTTCTTTTTCTTGAACTGAAGAACTCATCAAATTGCAATTGTGTTTGTTATCTGCAGGTTTAAGTATGTTCTTGTAATTACTAATTGATTGTGGTCAGGCAGGCAGCGGGGATCAACGGAGCAGATGATATGTGATTCAATTACATATTGAACTTCAATCCTGCTTTAGTCGTGTGTGGGCTTGCTATACTCGGTTTTGCAAATTAATAGTCTTTGATTTTCCTATTTTTTTCCTATAGGGTTTTAGGAAAGTTGACGCTAACCGTTGGGAATTTGCTAATGAGGGATTCCTAAGAGGTCAGAAACATCTCTTGACAACTATCAGCAGGCGGAAACCCGCTAATGTTCACTGTATTCAGCAACCTCAAGTTCAGAGTTTGTCAGTTGGAGCTAGCGTTGAGGTAGGGAAGTTTGGGCTCGGAGAGGAGGTTGAAGCACTTAAGAGAGGCAAGAATATTCTGATGCAGGAGCTTGTTAGGTTAAGGCAGCAACAGCAAGCCACAGATAATCAGTTACAAGCTTTTGGCCAGCGCATACATTTGATGGAGCAGAGACAGCAGCAAATGATGTCTTTCCTTGCTAAGGCGATGCAAAATCCAGGTTTCTTAAACCAGCTTGTAGAGCAGCAAAATGAAGGCAACGGCCACCTGACTGGAGCAAACAAGAAGAGGAGACTCTGTAGGCAGGATGAAGAAAATTTAACTTGTGAAAATGGTGCCATATCTCCAAATGGGCAGATTGTGAAGTTCCAGCCTTTGCTTAATGAGGCAGCAAAGACAATGCTGCATCATTCGTTGCAGATGAACACATTGCCTTGGCCGGAACCTGGTGCTTTGATGACTGATGGCGTTCCACCTTCCAGTGCATTAGACAGCAGGTGCTCCTCCAGTCAGATTTCGGGTACGACTCTTTCCAAAGTCCCACCATCTTCTAGGCAATCTTATTTGCGAGCAGTAACTGCCGCTCATTTAATATGTGAGTATCCTAAGGTGGATCAAATTTCTAAGACCAGTGAGTATCCTGATAACACTGTAAGGCCTGAGGGCATGAATGCAGAGTATCTTGATCCAGTGTCGGCTGTCTTGAACGGTACAATGCCGGCTGACCATGATATGGACACCATGCTTGATGGAAGCCCTGAGCTTCCAGCAATTAATGATGTTTTCTGGGATCAGTTTCTTACAAGAAGTCCACTCACGGGTCACGCAGATGAAATTAACGCTATCTCCCTGGAAAATTGTTCAAATGGGTATTCGGTAGATGAGCCTATGGATCATATTTCTGAGCAAATGGGCCTTCTTATATCAAATAGCATGATGGGGTAATGTCAAAAAATTATACATATATTTCTTGCTTTTATGAGGTGAATCTTTTAACCGACTATTCCCCCGATATGATGTGTAATACCGGCAAAAAATGTTTTTATTATTTTATTTTCAAAGAGAGATTTTTGTTGTTAAAAGCGTAGTTATTTTACATGTACTAAGAACACAAATAGTATTCTTTTTATGCTGTACAAAATAGTTTGTGAGATACTCCATAAATGAATATGTAATTGTAATATCTAATTTGTAGTCAGAAGGAAAAGAGAAAAAGTAAAAGATGGGATCAATCTACAAATGCTACCTAGAAGATGGGGTGGGTCTACCAAATTAAAAATTGAAGACATTCAATTGACGGAGATGCCAAGCGATTTTTCATTAAATAAATTTATTTATGTAATTATAAACATAAAATATTTTCGATATTTTAATCATCTTTTAACAGTAAAATAAGCGATTAGGTTGGTTTAGCCTCAGCTCGGTTTTTGTAAGCAAATTTTAAGGACAGTAATTAAAAGCATAAGATATTGATAAATAAAAACAGAAATAACTTCTTCATATCACTAATGTATGGCCGTGTTTAAATCAACTATGCTTCTTATATTGCATGGAAACTATCAAAATATCCTCGACTGTTGCTTCAAAACGACACAGTTTCATTTAACTAGTATAAAAATAAATAACATTATTGTCCACCCCGTAACATCGTTAACGTCCTAACTGTCTCTCTCGGGTAACAAACAAAATACACCTTCGTTTCCTTTAAATTTTGCTGGAAAAAAAAAAAGAAGCAAAGAAAAAAGAGAATATATTTTTCCTGCGAAGAAAGGTTCGATCTTTTTACCATAAACGGAATTCATGGAGGTTAGTGTAATGTTTATGGTTTTTTTTTATATCTTGTTTGGTTGCCAAGAAAATTGATGACTATTTTCTTCTCATTTCATTATATAGTACTGCCATTTATCTATCTATTTCTTAGCAATTATGTATATGAAGTTGTACATTTTTTATACTATTGAGCGTGATAAAAAGATATAGATTATATATCTATATTGGATTTGTGTAAAACTATATAGGGATCTGTTTGATTCCGTTTCGTCGTGGGTGTATGATCATATGCTAATTGGAAATTGATTGCGTGGATAAAAGAAAATTGCTTAAATTAATGCTTCCTGTAAAAAGATTTACAGGATTTAACTCGTGCAAAGGCTTCCATAATTTGAATTTAATAATTGTGTATGTTTGCATTCCAGCTTGTGCTTGGGAAATTTGCTTTTGATTTAGCCATGTTTTCTCGGCGAGAATGGTTGTAACAATGGGGGATAAAATGTTATTTTGTCTTAACTTTTCATAGTTGGACATGGATTTAAGAATACAATCCTCCAAGTATACACACAATATATTTTACAAAAATGAACATTGACAGGCATCTGTATCCAGCATTGACACTTGAATCCGAATAATATGGTTTACATATTTCTTTTAACAGATCCGATCGGTGAAAGTGAACAACATCTCCTTGAGAGCATCCGAGCAAGACATTAACGAGTTCTTTATCTTCTCCGGTGAAATCGAATATGTTGAAATGCATAGGCTAGTCACTATCTAGACGTTTAAATTTCATCGACTCTTTTTTATTGACATGCTCTTCTCCACTGTACTGGATACAAAGAAAAAAAGTTGGAATCACTTCCCATGCCTTGTGATTCATGTAATTGTTCTGGTATAGTGATGTTCCAAAATCATTTGAACAGTTTCTTCTCTAGGTTTCTTATGGCTTTCCTTTATCTTCTTTCAGTGATAATGAGGGATCACAAGTTGCATATATTACTTTTAAGGATTCACAGGGAGCAGAGACTGCAGCTCTTCTTTCAGTATGAACATGTCTCATTTCTTATGTCGGCCACACACTGTATTGCATTTACTTTGGGATGATACAATCATAGTCCATACACATGTTTGAATGCGTAGGACATACATAAAGGACGAGTACTTTAAGGAGAATGAAGAGTCGGAGTACATAGGTTTAAAGTATTTTCATTCCATTCTTATTAATTCGGAATACGCGGTTTTCTTCAGGGGGCAACGATTGTCGATCAGTCTGTTATGGTAGAGCTGGCTCCGGATTACAAGCTGCCTGATAATGCTTGTACAACACCGGTAGGACATTACTTAAATCCTCTTTGGTTTCAATTACTAATTCATGATTTGTTTGATGACTTTAGGCAACGGGGAACAATACCGGGCAGGGAGAAGAACGTTTAAAGAAGGCAGAGGATGTTGTTAGCACCATGCTAGCCAAGGGATTCATTGTTGGAAAAGACACATTGAACAAAGCAAAGGCCTTCGATGAGAAGCATCGAGTCACTTCGACCGCCTCCGCCAAGATTGCTTCTCTGGATCAGAAGGTTGGTTTCTCTGAGAAACTTAGTGCTGGCAAAATCGCGGTAAATGAAAAGATGAGGGAGGTGGACCAGAAGTATCAGGTTTCTGTGAAGTCGAAGTCCGCATTGGAAGCCGCCGAGCAGTCGGTCAGCAGCGCCAAATCTTCCGCCATGAAGAACCGTTACGTTTTTGCAGGAGCCACGTGGTTTACTGCTGCATACAAAAGGGTTACTAAAGCAGCCGAAGATGTGGGGCAGAAGACGAGAGAAAAGGTTTTGGCTGAGGAAGGAGCTCAGAAACCAGAGGGACAAGCACACGACAACGCGTCTACTTCTCCCAGAGCTGCTAAACACGAAACCAGCGAGCAACCGTCCGATCCCTCGCCAGGACCAGGTCTACTCCTCCTCGATGGTGCAGGAAAATAGAAGGAATGACCATTGGTTTACTTGTTGAGAAAGATTTAAAATTGCAAGGAATATTTCCATCAATTATTTAGTAAAGTTTAAAAGTGTATTTTTACAATTCTGTGTTTATTAAAAATATTCATTTCTGGTTTAATATACGATGAATATTTTAATACGTACTATTTTTAAAAAATATATGTGAATCTTAAAATTAAATTAATTTTATATATTTAAATATATATATCTAAGGGTGTAAACTAAACTAATTTGAACTAATAAAGTTATATTTTTTTATTTGTCTATTTTTTTAAACTATTCATATTCTATAGGTGTTCATTTAAATTTATAATAATGTATTTATTTAACTTTAAATGTATTTATCTCTGATTTGTTTAACACTAGAGAACATATTTGTTTCATGTTAGACCAGTCCCATTTAACATTAAGCAACCATTATTATTTTTTACTTGCAACCCAAAGAAAAATGATGAAATTATACCACTAGTCCTTAAACTCCTTAGGTTTTATAATTTTAAGCTCCAAAATTTATCCAATGTTCAATTTAGTTTATCTTAATCAATATTTAAAATATAAAAGCATAAAAAGAAAATGAAAATCTAATAAACAAGCTTATAAATGAGTTAGTGTTGGAACCGTCTTTCGGGTGGGGCCGTAATTGGGCTTCGACTTAGATTAAATGAATTGGAGTTGCCACCGATCATTTATTTTAAAGCAAATGGGTTGATCGGATACATTATTTCTTACCTCATCTGCGTCTTACCAAAGATGTGTTGGATTTGGGAGTCGGTTACAGTCAAGGAAGGGTTAGCACCCTTGAACTTCCCTTTCGAAACTACGTAATTTCCAGTTGTCTTTAATTATGAAAATTGTAATTTAAAATAAAAGGTAATATAACGATCCAGATTACTTACTTTAGATTGATTTGAAAACATCCTTAAAAGGTCAAGAAATGTGTTAGATAAAAAAAGGTAATAAACCCAACAAAATAAAAAAAAATGAAATAAAGAAGATAAAATAAAATGAGTAAAGAAAAATAAAGAAAATATTAATAATAAAATAAAGATAACAAGTAAATAAAATAAAAAAAATGATAATAAAGAAACAAAAATAAAAAATAAGGAAAATAAATAAATAAATAAACAAAATGAAAAAAATAAAATGAAAAAAAATAAAAAAATAAAGACAAGGAAAAAAAATAAAATATAGGAAAATAATAGTGAAAATAATATACATAGTAAATAAAAATAGATAAATAAATAGAACAAATATAAAGAAAATAAATAATAAAAATAATATATATATATATATATATATATAAAATAATGATATAAAAAATAGATATATATATATATATATAATAGAATAAAATACTAAAAAGTAATAATAATAAATAAATGAAAAAAATAATAAAGAAAATAAATAATAATTAAATATATATATAAATACTAATGAAAAATGAAATAAATTAAAAAATATAATATAATATTTAAATAGATAAAAATAAGAAAATTAAAAAAAATCAAACTATGAAGGGATTAAATTGAAAGAAAACAAAATCGGGAGTCAAATTTATAATAAATTCAGGGTTAAAATTAGATTTAGGGGGCCAAATTAAAGCATTTAAACCATGAGGGACCAAATGGGAATTATCCCACTAATTGTTGAAAACATGCAGACCCAGTGGATCGGGTCGGGTCCACACGCAGATCTTACTCGGGTCGACGGGTCAACTATTTAAGTCATTTTTTTAAATTTCTTCATTCTCTTCATTTAAACAGAAAACCCCTCCCCATCCTTTGCTTCATCATCTCGTTTGTTTATCCAAAGGATGAACACAGTCGTGGGTCTCGATGAACCCATAAAATCAGCCACTATCGCCACCTCGCTGGCTGCCTGCAGCAAAATTAATTTTTTTTTACTTTCGAAAACCTTTTCTTCTCATTTTTTACGAAATCAAAACATTTTTTTTTTTTGAAAAAATAGGCCTCGGAGGCTAGATCTACGAAAGAAGATCTCGAAAACGCCCCTTTTCATCGTCCTTTTGATGCAAAAACGAAAAAAGAGAGGGACAAGCCACATGCAAGGGAGAACCGAAGCAATATACGTAAAAATGCCTCTTTTATTTCTCTTTGAACCGTACAAACACTTTGATTTGCTCGTATTTCCTTTGCCTTTTTCGTGTATATTCTGTGTGTTTTGTGTTTGATTTACATGGGTATTTATAAGTAAAAAAGATACCTATTTTTAGTATCCTATTCGAAATAGAGTCCTAATGCTTGTTGGTTGCTATTCTTTGTTTCCTTATGTGGCTTGGTAATGGCCGAGAAAAT